TGTATAGAGATTCCAGTTAGTGTAATCAAATCTGTACATACAAATCTTCTGGAGAAAAATACCAAAGGAATTTTAAATGTTTAATTTGAGAAACTTAAAAATTTTTATATTTATTTATATAATTATTAATAAGTATATCATTATAATCTACTAAAATATATAATATTTATTTATATAAATGTTCTTTAAATTCTTTTTCCTGCAATTACATGAGCTCTAAAAGCTAAACAAAAAATTCCACTGTTCGCACAGGGATGAAGCTGTGTATACATCATGATTTATACATTACTTAAATCTTAAATAAAATAGGTAAAAAAGATGCAGATCTACATAAACGAAACCAGAGTATACAGGATGGTATGGCATCATCCTATATTCAACAGGCACAATGGCTAATAGAATCGTTTATATTTTCAAATCAGACAATGATTGTATAATTAAATCTCTACACGTTATTATACGTATTATACATTTTAACTTCATGTCCTGGCGAACATCTGGATAAATACATATTAAATATACAATTTCACTCATATAAGCAAGTATATTAAAATTGCATATAAAGCCAACAGAAAGTATAGATTTAACGATAAATAATACATTGGAATTACTTGACATTTACTTAGAGCAGCTTGAATCGTGCAACTTCTGATTTATTTGAATGAAAGCAAATATAGTTCCCCCTTGTCAATGTTGTATATTGATAAAGATCTTCTTGTATAAAACTGTAAAAATGCGTCGTTATTTTAAAGAAAAAAAAAAAAAAATTCTGAGATCGTACAAGATTTCAATATTTAAAAAAACTTTTCTTATAATCTATAGCATCATTATTTATAAACGGACATTTATCGTGAAATAAATAATATCAATATGTAATATCAGAGTGGTATGAATGACATAGTCAAGCATATACACACACTCACACACACGCGCGCGTACAGATATATATTGGGTCATCTAAAAAGTATCCGCGATACTTGTCACTAGATATATGACCATCAACACACATCTAGTGACAAAAAACCGCGGATACTTTTTAGATGACCCAATATATATATATATATATA